GAGGTGAACATACTATTTTGTTTAGGCTTTTTTAATGTATTTGTTATATCTTAGTATATTACGAAAAAAATCTTTTGTTATTTTTTGAAAATATGTTAATGTTATTCTGTCAACAAAAAGCTAATAACCCTTTTATCGCCCTTCCCAACTCAGAAAAAAAGAAAGGTTTACTTTTATGTTATCTACTTAAGAAGAATAATCACCGAAAATACAGGCCAGTTGCATGAAAATACAGGTTTACTTCACACAAACGTAAGGCCAGTTCAGTTAATGTAAGGCTTTATAATTAGCATATTTCAGAAACTGATACACTACATTTCTGTTTAGATAAAGAAAGGAGAATCTCACAGCAAAGGTATCTGTCTTAACATGACGCTATGTGAGGATCATGTAATCTATTCTAGGGGATTGGTATGTAATGGGGCATATTTCTGGCTTTCATTTTTGCAAAGTATAGAGAGACATGTGGAATATATGCAGATTTTATCACGTTGTTCAGAATGAAATGGTTGCAAATCGACTTAAAAACTCATTTGATGGATTGATCCGTACTAAAATAAAAATTCTTGATTCTTTCTACTGGCAAAAGCATACTAAGAAGTAGGAGAACCTATAAGGCAATCAGATAAAATAATAGGGAAAAATAAATAATCAAAATTACATACTAAGTGAGAAATACTTACCAGTTCATGATGTTTATCAGTCGTCCATACCTATGTTTGCTTTTCCCCACACTTCTGAGCCATATGCTCATGAATGCCTGGCTTTAGATGTCTACTTTATCCAGTCAAATCCAGCTTACGTGGGGCTAAAGAAAAGGGGTGAAGTGAAACACTTTACTCCCCAGTGTCCATTTTCCTTTTCACTGCAGTGTTGTGGACTATCATTTTTCTTGTTACCTGCACCTGAAATATTTCTCTGTCTCTGTGCATTAAATACTTGTGCTAATCCAGGGTTAGTCTTCATGATCTGTCACACATCTTTTGGCATTCACTAAGATAATTTTTTTGATCCTGTCATGTAAGTTTTAACACAAAGGCAACAAAGCAATTGAAGATGGGGCATATAAACTTGATTCCCAAAAATTATTCTTCTGTAATTGTTTTGTTTGTGCATCAGAAAAGAACAATGTTCCTTTTTTGTCCTGTTCACTCTTTGCTTTTCTCCTTCTCGTACTTATTGAAGGATTTAAGTAGTTTCTAATGGCACAGACTCAGTAGTTGTGCCATACACTTTTATCTGTTGAATTACAAGTAGACTTTCTTGCTTAAAGGAGAAAAACGATATTTTCTATGCAGGTGTCTGCCGGAGTTTTGATTTAAAACTCTATGGGACTGATCAGTTATTATCTACATTTAAAAAATACCAGAAATTATTTGTGTGAATGTTACTACTGTAGGTTTTTTTTCCACAGAAAGTGTAGTGCAACTAAAATCCTCAAACTGTAGAAAAATGTTGCTAGAAAATACTAGGATTTTACTACTACAGCTCTGTCAAGTTCAGACCGTTTCATCTGAGGTCGTTGTAGAGAGCTGTGTTTTCCCATTTCTCATTCCCTTTGGGATTTTACTGCCCTGACGGTATATCCCAATGGCATACAATGGCTGGAAGATCTCTGCCCAAATTAGATGCTCCTTCCACCTCCACATTTCCTTCTTATTTTTTGTTCTGGGGAACAGTCCGCATCCCTGCTTGTTGTGCAGGGTCTTGCACTGGGGAAATGGTTCTTGTGTTTTGAAATGGAGTTGGAGTAGTGACCATGTTAAGATAGGAAATGCTTTTCAGCATTGATTTACTGAAGATTTCCTGAGCTGTAGATAGTATTTGGAGTCTCATAAATGCCCTTTGCTTCTCCATTTCAATTTTCATTTCTTGCCCAGATCAGTGAAGTTCTGAAGATGATTGTCTGTTGCTGCTTATACACAAGCACTATCATGTAGGGAATGTTTTTTTAAGCTGGTGGTATCTTGTCACGTGCACTCCAGGCCTGCTTTATCTCTTATGTGCAATTACTACCAGCAGTGTGGTGTTCTCAGGTTCTTTCAGTCACTTGGCTGAGCCAGTTTCAGCTGCATCACTGCTTTCTCCTTAGTTCTCATTTTAACTTTCTTCTTCCCAAAGATCTTCCTAGCTTTGGAAATGAAGAGCTTCACTGTGCAGTTTCTGTACTGATACTGGCCTTGGGTGTGCCACGTGGCACTCCCAGGTTTGACTGACTTTTGGTCTATAGCCGTCACCTCCGCAACCGGTTTCAGAGAATTCCTTTTCCCTGTGTCCCATACCAGCAAACAGGTGTAGCTGACTTGTGTCAAACAATTCGCATCCTTGTTATTGCAGGAACATATTCCTTCACGAAGTTCAGTTTCCTAGCATTCAGATCAAGGGCAAAAAGAAATAGACAGAAGCATCTTCAGGGCACAGCTCTGCAAAGGAATTGTTTACCCCTGTGACAGGAGTGAGGAGTATTTTTCCTTTTTTTCCAGAGCTGTGTAGAATTGCGAGTACTGAGCATCACTGCCTCACTTGGAGGGCTTCCGTAACATCTTCCCTTCCGCTGCAGGCACTTGCAGCTAGGACTGGTTCCTTTTACAGGATCCTTCCTGAGGATCTGTCTGCCCGTTTCACTTCTTTCTCTCTAGCCAGCAGCTCATCCTACAAACACAGCTTCTGAGAGGTGCCGACTTTGGAGCCTGTCTTACTCGTTCTGACTCAGTTCAACCCTGCCAACCTTTACGGGGGGATTCAAATGACGCTAGGGAAAGGAAAACATAAATCCAGGCTTCTGACCTTTTTGGCATCTTGACCAGCAGGGTCCACAAAGGCACCAGGTAAGAAGATCTCGTAGGAAATAAAAGTAAAATGTGCCTTGGAAGTTCTGTCATCCTACCAGTTACTTCTTCAACAGGCTTGCATAAGCTGAGACCTCCTGTTGCTTCTGTTTGGCTGCGTTGGCCAGTTTCCTTGAACCAACTTCTGGCTACTCCTTACTCTCAAGAAATCTCTTTGCCTTATCTGGCTCCCGTGTGGTACAGAACTGGAGCAGAATGAGCCCCGGGCCTGCTCCTGTTTCTCTAGACTCTGGTCCTTCTTCAGGAAACCACCTTCCCACAGTAGGCACTGAGAGCCTGCAGAGCAGCATCGCTTTAAATGCTTGCCGTCCTCCAGCGCCAATAAAGCTACACCACAAGCTTTGACGCTGAGGCAAGAGTTCTGAGGCTGCTGTTGAACCAATTTCAGATTTCCTTAAAAAGCCATTGATAACAAGCTGGACTAGAACATGCTTTGGGGGGATACGTGGTCTGCTTTCCAGCCAGTTTCGTGGTCTGGGGTGTCCCTGCGTTCACACCTTCAGAAGCAGCAGTTTCCCACTGAGCTGGGTCACTCCAGTCCAGAGCCACTGTGATGGCTTTCTGCAGCAGTGAGGCTCCTCTGGAAAGCGCTGGAGCCCGTTGCTCCAGGCCAAGGGCAGTGAAGCGTAATGAGATTGGCTGCAAAAATGAGACATCCTTCACAGGAGATGACTTGGGAAATTTCTCAGGCTCCAGCTTTTCTTAGTTTCAGTTTGATACCTTGAATCTCTTAATGTTCCTCAGAATGTTTCCCAGAATTACTGCATTTCATTTGGTCGGATCCGTTATCCAAACGGACAGAATCCTTAGTGGGAGAGGAATGGGGAAGCTCTTTTAAATGGGGCCTCTTAATGGAGAAGCTCTTTTGCGCCCAAAATTTTGGGGATCTTCAATTGCTTTGTTTCTGAAAAGAACATAGCTAGTGACCATCTCAGCCTGCTGGGGAGCTAAGGGTCAAGCAGTAACTGATGGAAGTTTTGCTTCCTTGCCTCCTTGAAGACAAGTAACTTTCAGCATTCATTCAGCTGACGATGCCCAGAGTGCTTTGGGAGAGCTCCTTGTTTCTGTGTGCTTACGCTGGGGGGACCATCAGTCTCTCCCCAAGTATTTCACGCCAGAGAAGTGTTCAGAAAATGTTGCTGAACTGTCACTAAGGGCCTGTTTGCTCATCACCTGACAACTAGTAGCAGCTTCACTGCAGGACAGATGTTCAGTTGTTAACTGCACTTGCCCCTTGGCTGTCTTCACCCTGACACCAGATACTGGCTGAGACGTTTGCAAATAACCTTATGATGTTGGGTTTTTTTAAGCAGGTGGGCTGTGGACCCCAAACCCTCTGCATGATCTCTTGAAATAGCTGCTTGGGATCACTGACAGCATCAGTGTATGTACAGGCGCTCGCCTCACCAGCTTACCTGCCTGGGGCTGCGTGTAATTACGAAACACAGACTGCCTGCGTACAGTGAGCTGGGGAGGGGAGAGGGCTTGCGAATAAATCAGTATGGCTACAGTTTTGGAAAGCCTTTGAATAAAAGCTAAAAGTAGCAGTTACGGGTAACTAATTGTGCTGCTTTAGTATTTTTAAGTTCTTTGGATAATGCTGGTTAAGATTGTCTTAGCATAGTCTAAGATAACTTGTTAACTTCTCTTTGCTTCCTCCAAGTTGCTTCTTCAAAGTTACTGCAGGAGATGGTGTGTGATCAGGAGATGGTGGTGGAAATCAGTCATTACCTTTTTTGGTTCAGTTTTTCCACCGAGTCCCTCTCCTTCTGTAAAGGGTGAGATGGAGGGTGAGGTGTCACTACAAGTAAGTGCCTCAGCACAAAAAGAAAAAACTGATGGTGTTAAACGAGCCCACTACGCAGAGGGAACTATATATCCTGAGTAGTTAGATTTAGTTTATTTTTGTAGGGAACTCACACAGGAAGATGCAGTATTGGACACAGGTGTGAAAAAGCTGTATTTGAAGATGTTCCAAGGATACCCTGAAAGGAGGAGGCAGCTAGAAAATAAAAAGATAAGGCAAGGAAAAAAGGCCATTGCTGTTCAGTGGGAGGGACCCCTGAACTGTAGAAAACTAGAATACAGAAACAAAACCACCACCTCCCTAAAAAAAGGCTGTACAAAAATGAAGTAGACTATAAAAGTTGATCTAATATTTTTACTTAATTTTAAATCCTGTATTAAAAATTAATACGATAAACTCTTATAAAAGTAAGGCACATGCAAAACATGTTGTGCAACTTCTGACTTTCAACTCTTACAAACTAACAAGCATTATTTGAATTTGGCATTTCTAAAGAGTCATTTTTCCCCATGCAGGATATGTGGAAAAAGGTTAAGTTTGACATTGCACCAATTAAATCTAGATTCTGTGCTTTCTGTACTACAGTCAGCAGAGATGGTCATATCGTACAGTCATACAAAACAAAAACCAACTCAAATACAGATTCTGAAGGTGATGAGCAACATACAAAATTTAAGAATGTGAAGTTATATCCATTATAATACATTAATAATCTTATTCAGTACAGGATGATTTGGCAACTCCAGTCTGTGTAATGCCAAGTGTGCAGTTCCTAGTTATCAGTGTCATACGATGCTGAAGACCATGGAAAGATACTGCTCATAGGACACCTGAATCCAGCCATCTTGATCAGTGTCGTAACGGCGGAACACATCAGTCAGCCTCTGAAAAGGGAGGAATAAAACCAGACATTGTGGTACATCGGGAAGGTGCAGACTGCCATGTATTCCCCTTGCCACTTAGCTTGCTGTAGCTTCGTGAACCCTCGCTGCTCATCCCCCTGCAGACACTGCACAATCCTGTGCATACAGAGGTGGCCCTTTGCCATGTCTCGTGCCTGAGCTGGGCAGCAGATCCGATTTTAAAACCAGCTTACAATACAATGCCTAAGGCTACCTGGGCACTTCGGGGGAGGGGGGGAGGGGAACGATACACCTTTCTTGTGCGACATCGGAGAGTCACCTGGAGGCAGAATGCAATGAGGGCCGTGTCCATGTCTGATCTTCTAGCCAGCTGTGCTCTGTGTATCAGTGGCGCCTGAGCCGTCTCTGTAAAACCCCGGGGGTGCCAGGCAGTACAGACTGCGGACCAAACTAACCACCAGCATGGTTTCACTAACACCAGCTGGATGATGCTCAAAGCCCCCTTTACCAGAGTTTAAGTTTACAATACAGTATAATTGGCTTCCATTACAAATGAATATAGAGGCCACTGATGTTTCAGCAGACGTATGGCTATAGACATGAAGGAGAAGAACAAAACACCTGTATGCAAATAACAGAGATACTACTTTTACAGGGCACTCCTTTCTCTTCATGTTGCGTATCAGAAGGTATCTTAAGATACTGTTGCAGTGCTGGCCAGCGTAAGAGCAACCTGTTCCCTAACCTACTAAAACTCAGCTTGTCCACTGCTACAGTTCACTAACTTTTTCCCAAAGTCCTACACGCATTTCAGAAAAGTCAGACACATGCAGAGAAACCTTAAGCACTGAGGTGAGCTGATTTCTAAACAAAGTAATACACCTGTAAAATGACAGTGTTCTCTCTATATATACATACACACTTGCATTTCTGTTACTGAAAGGGTTTCTGGTTATTTGTTTTAAACATCTTTTACTACCATTGTCCCTGCAGGAACAGCAGTAACGGAAGATTGAATAATTCAGCTGCTAGGTCAAATTCCATTTAATCAAAGCGTTAAACAGAAAGCTAAACAAAAACCTCACAATTCAGATGGTAGGAGAATTACGGGCACCACAGGACATGACGCACCCAAGATCCAGATGAAGTGTGTGTATTAAACTAACAGAAATATTGCTAAGTGTTTTCCTTCTAAAACTCTGAGACTATTTTACATTTTTTTTCCCCAGAAAAGTATTTAACAGGACAAAAAAAAAAATGTATCAAATTTACTTGTGATGCAAATGGATAATGAGCGAAGACTGGTAAATGAAGATGCTTCTAGCACCTCTTGTATACTTTATTCAAATGGCTTATTTATAAGCAAGTTCTGGATCTAATAGTTAAACGGAGAACCATAGAAGTCTAAGAAAAGGTGATTTTTTTTTTTCTTTTTTTAAATTGGCATGAAAGTACATCTCCTTTCTTACCTGTAAAACAACACAGCACTGAATAAAGTCATCAAAAGCAACTTGTCCTCTTCCTTGTCTGTCAAATTTCCGAATAAGGAGATCGTAGAATTGATCAGACAGTCGGTAACCTTGGAAAACAGAAATGCTTTAGGAGGTTTCAGTTACCGCAGCCATTCTATAAAAAGAACTGGGCTGTTCATTTTTTTAGTTACAAGAGACAAGTTTGGGTTTTTTTCCAAATTTCTCCACTGCACAACGAAGGCATTAAACTAAAATGCATGCATTAAAAACCGTGCTTAATTATAGACAGAGTCACAGTAAACATAATTAAGTGACTAGTTGCTTGAGGGAACGGTTTAGCACTGCAGCTCAAGTTTTTAAGTGAAGCCAATGGAGTGAAAGTTCTTTTGCCACCAGAACGGTACCGTCGCGCAGACAGCTGGCTTCGTTTTCAAACGCAGAAAGCTGTATCCAGTACCTTGTAAGCTCAGACATTTACCCAAAGCATTGGTAACGCTCTCAGAGCAGCGAACAGGGGAGACAGAAAACGTTCTGCATGCATGTACTGACACATCCAGTTTCACTTTTTTCATAAAAGGAAACAGATTTAAAAGAAGTGCTTGTGGCATGGACATCTTTAAAAGGTGCCTTACACCTAAAAGGGTAACTGCAGTTCACCTGCCTCATTTTTAGTCGCATTTGTCAGAGCAGTGCAGCCCTAAGAATAAAAAGCTAATTTGATGACATAACCCAGTCATAAATACTGTAATTACAAATGAATTACCAAAACCTGTTAGTGCTTGCTTTAGTTCGTTTTTGTCAATCATTCCAGAATTGTCTCTGTCATACGTTCGAAAGACATTCTGCCAGTCTGAGATGTACTTCCAGACTCCTGTGAATTCATTGAAGTTCACACCACCTTTGTTTTCTCTGTCAAACATGCCTGAAATAAAAAGTAGGAAACATACAAAACCTTAATTACACCACTCTTCAGTAAGATCTGCTGTTATTTCATGAAGGCAGCAAGAGCGCTTTGTGGAAGGTACTGAAGACAGAAAAGAAATCACTAAAATACAAGTGATACTTTGGAAAGTTCTGCCAAAAAAAGCAAGCAGTCATCCACTGAAGGAAGAAAAGATAAAGCAAGATAAAAGAGGACCAGAATGAGTCACAGAATGTTGACTTTTCCTGGGTTTTCATTTCCAGCTTGAAAATATTCCGGGCTTGATTGATCATCCAGTTACAAAAAAGGGGGGGAGGGGGGTAGGTTGTTCTCTTCTAAGGACAGATGAAAGTCTACTGACTGCCAAAACTGCTGGGATATTCACCTGCATCTGACTTACTGACACTCTCATCGTTACACAAAAAGCATGTCGCACGGCGATGGAACGCAGACTGCTGCTGAATACTTACTAAAAACAACACAGAAAATTTAGTCCTTGGATTTGTGAACTGTATGATAGATTTTTTTTTTTTTGCTTGAATTTTTCTCCTGTTCTACCACCATCATCCTTGATGTTATTGGAAATTATTTTAGGACACTAAAGAATTCATATATTGTAAAGGTTCTTTTTGGAGCAGAACATAGGATTAAAATGCAAGACAGAAAAAACTAGTTACAAATACAAGTTATGTCGTATCTTTTTAGAACGTTTAAGTTGACAATTTCCCCACGCATAAATGGCATTTGCTGTCTATTCAGTTGTACAGTAACATTTTCTCAGGCTACTTCGACACATGCGTGTGTGTGCATGCAAAGGGCATATCATACAGGCGTATTATGCAAAAGGGAAAATATACGAGTTTAACTTGCTACTGCTGGGCTACCTGGAAGAAAAGCAATGAATAAAAAAAGACTAAAGACAGATTGAAACATACCACCTAATGATGAAAGGCCAACTTGTAAACACTACAGCCAAGTTACTTCAAAAGACCTTTAAACAGGCATTCATTATTGCAGTAGAAATACATATTGTATATGTACTGCAATATTTGTACATACTTATTTCTCTAAAACAGTACAGCAATTGACAGCACTCTCAATTGTTCTATCACAATTGATCACAAAACAGTATCTTGACTATTTCACATCACACAGCTACACTCACCAAGAATTGACCTGACTGTTGCTGGATTAAATGGAGTCCACGTGCCTGAAACAGAAAGAATTCCTTAGTTCCTCAATACCAAGTAACATTTTAAAAAAATGCAACCAACCAACAAACCAATCAAAAAATCAGGTAAGAACTTCAACACTGAATTGAGAACGAGATGACAGGGAGCTAGCATATTATAAAATAAGGCTGCTTTGAAGTAATTATGTTCTTGACCATTCAGAGGTGACTTCAGACCAATGCTTTACAGATACTGCACAGAAACCAACATTTTCCAGGTTGCACCAAAAACCTTGGAAGAACTAAGAAGGATTTTTTTCATCCCACGTAGTCAGGAGGTGTTGGTTAAAAGGCAAGATCAAAATCGAGTCCCACTTTTTCTACTGATGGGAGCAGAAGAGTTTTAAGTTGTAACTCCAACAAGGTCTCACATCTATTCCTCAGTAAAAACTCCTCTGCTTAGTTCTTGCTTTACAGGTGGGTTACTCCAGGGCATTTAGTTTCTGACAGAAGTAAAATGAAAAGGTTCCTAAGACGGCATAACCACACAGTGCAATTTAGAGTTCAGTTTAGTGTAAATCCCACCTCCACTGCTAAATCAATGAAGTGTTAGTTTAAATTAGTATTTTCAGACCAAGAAATGCTGTGTGAAAGGGCATGAGCAGCAGTGATCTGAAGAGGAGCTTTGTACTTCTCCGAATATTTCGACAGGCCAGTCACTTTGGACTAGTTTTCACTCTGTTGGAAGCATTAAGCTTTAAACTAAGAAAATACTGTGCCTCATCTAGAATTTCACCATCGATTCTCCAGAGCCTGTGAAGGTATCAGAAGGACCAAAAAGCATGTATGAAATTCACTGAGGTGGAGTGCAGGGACCACAAAGGACCCAGTAAGGCCAGGGGTACTGTAGAGGCGTCTGCAGCAACGCAGTTAGCTGACCACAAATCCCTAACAGAAAGGCAGTGCTGGTGTTAAGGAGGCTGGGTGAAGGCATGGCTGCTTTGCTGGATCGAGCTGCAGTGGTGTAAGCAGTGCTTACACCAGCGCTGAATTTATCCCACAGAAGGGAAACTCTATCAGTGTAAGTCTACACATGCAGCAACAGGGGAAAACCTGGTACTGTAGGCAGGCCATATGATGGCACACAAAAAGAAACATAGAAAGAGTAAAAATGGCTCTGAAAATGCTTAAGTAGTATTTTAGACAGAGAACATCAGTACCGTAGAGTTCTATGTCCTTGGAAAAAAAAAAAAAAAAAAAAGAAATTATAAATAGGGTGCCAGCATTTAACTCTGAACAGTATAGAGGAAAAAGGGAAAACACAGTTTGGAATTTAACTTACTTCATGTGGAAATTTTCAAGAGACTCATACAGACACTATAAAGTCAAACCAAAGCAACTCCAGTGCTGAAGAACTGTGCTCATTTCAGCCTATTCCAACAAAAAGGAAAAGACTGTTCCCTCCCCTGACTTTACTGTTAACTTTACATGGCAGCACAGGAAAAAAACCAAACCATAACAACAACCACAAAGAAGAAAGCACAGGATTTTATTGTGCAAACAACTATATGAAGTGATGATCAGTCCCTCCCAGGTAAGTATACTGTTACTTGCGTAAACCTGACATGTTGAAAAGCTGAACGTCAAAAACACACTGAACTTCAAATTTTAGTAAGCACTATGCAGCCTTTTTTAATGTTTTAGAAATAAACACGTAACATTCTTTTAGCCTATGTTAGAATACAGGACAGCTACTTGCAACCATTCACTAGAGGATATATTTTGAAAATAATATAGTGAATTGTTAGTGACTTTGGTGTACAAGATCTAGAATCTCTCGGAATGAAGGAAGCTTACAGTTCTGTACATATTTTGTCTAATAGTGAATTCACTTGGTGGGGATTCTTCATAACTGCAAAGCACTGAAACTGCTAATCTACACTGTAAATAAGGAAAAAAAAAAGTTCAGATAGTCATCACTGCCTATTACCCTTAAATTCAATCAGATGAGAAGATATTTAAAATATATCAAGTTTAAAATGGCAGGTAAAGCCAGGTTCCCACACGGTTATAAACAGCACTGTAATCTTAAATGAAAAGAGTGACTTAATCAATTTAACCTAGCTTTTGCTGAAGTTGTTATTCAAAATAGTATTTTAGTTATGGATCAGGAGCAGCAGCTACAATATATTGCTTCTAATTTATCAGATATAGTATTAAATAAATATTCTAGTAAATCCAGTTTAGTTACAAGACCACAATTTTACTAAATAGAGCCATCCAAATTTATTTCGAGTCACGTGATTACTGACAAAAAGGAGTCTTTCAGTCTGTGCACTGCAGCTCACAACATCAGTTTAAGCCCTTCTCAGTCACAAAGCACAGGAAGGATGAAGGAATTAAACCCTGGGAGAACGGGAATTTGATACGGGCTCACAGGTGCACAAATAGCTTCAATATGCACTTTTTCAGATTTTAAGTGGAAAAAAAACCAACCATAAAGTACAACCCTACCCACCCCAAGTCACCAGAGGACAGTAAAAATAGGCTACGGGAAAAAAAAATTCGGGTTTTATTTTGCTTCCATGAGTTATTTGGCCACACCTTAGTTACTCTTTAAACATTCTGACAGGGAACTGACAGACTACTAGAAAGTTTTATTACTAGATCTAGAGTGCATCTTTCTACTTTGTTAGGAAAAAACCCCAAACATGCCTCATTTGGAAAACAAAAAATTAAAAATTACCATCTTCGATTCCTGCACCATACTGTATGAAAAGATTTTATGTGCAGTAAAAAGGCTGGCTGTAAACAGCTGATCTGTGTCCAGATTACACACTGATCCTGGTTAAAAAACAAAGATTCAGTAGTGATGAGTGAGGAACATACAAATCACCGTTTATGTTTTCTAGGAAGCAGAGCTGGAAAAAAAATAAAAGGGATGCACATGCCTTCATTCCCCAGAATACAAATCAGTAATGTCTACAACAGGTACTCGATTTATAATGCATTTTTTACTTACATGCACCAAACCCAGAAAACTTTCCTTGAAATAAAAAAACCCGAAGAACAATGGGTTCAGGGAAAAATATAATCAATAAAATCAAGAGGATTGTCCACTTTTTTCCTCCCCACCAGCCTTTTGCTGTAGGTTAAGTAGTATTAATCAGTGGTAGGAACATTCCAACCCCCGCCCCCAGCCAAAGAATTCTGGCATCAAGTAAGCAGTCTCACATGAAATTCAGCATTAGGTTTGCAATGAACCACCTCACTGCTCATTCACAGACTTACCATTGGATAATGCCTGCTGAAGTTCATTATCAGATATTATTCCACTCCTATCTTTATCAACCCTGGGGAAAAAAACAAAAGTGGTAAGCTTTAAATGGCTGAAATTAACAGGTTCCACTTGCAGAAGACTTCAGCATTCTGGTTCTTACTCACCAGATAAGATTAATCTTTTCCTGAAAAGTCACTAATTGCATTTTACTTGGTAAACCATTCACAGTTACTGCAAATTAAATGCTTCATTCAGACCGATGAGACATTCTGGGATGTGGTATCAGCTACAAAGAACACTGCAAGACTTACTTGCCAGTGAAGAGACACGCACAAACACACACTGGCAATAAAGCAGTCTGGGCACAAATCGCACAAGAAAGGCTTTTTCTGTACTTATTTATTTTTAAAAGAACCTCAGAGCACACCATGCTGGTTAAACCCACACAATGCCTGATGCCAGTGCAGTAAGCTGCTGGGCTCCCAGACTGGAGCCCCACGTCTGGCCCCCAGTTTCTCTCAGTAAGATGTTGGCAATGGAGAGAAAGCCGCTCATGTAACCAGTGCAAAGCACTGACAGAATCCACTGCAAGGCCTCGACCCCTGTCAAAGGGGCTCAGAAAGCAAAAAAGTACAGGCAGGTGCCAGCTTCCACTGAGCCATCACAGTCTGTTGTTTCAGAGAACCAAGTTCTAGCCCCAAATTAATAAACTAAGTAATTTCTTCCCAAATAAAGCAGAATCATGCCTTCTCTAGAAGGATATCTGAAGGTGGCGGGGACTTCCCTCCACTCTCCACAAGGACCTTCCCCTTGACACAGACAGTTGTTACTTCCCCTCAGTTACCACCACTCCAAAGCAGAGCCCTGCTCAGGTGATCCCACTGCAGAAGCTGTTCTTTTTTTTCCCTTTAGTCCTTGTCTTTTTCTAAGCCTTTTCAGCTCATTCTAGATTCCTTCCCCATCTCAAAAATGATATAAACCACATACAACATTCAAATTGCAAGCATAACTTACACAGATTATAATAACAAAAAGATACTCCCCTTTTTTATTCTCTATTTCTTTTCTAGGTATTCTGAACTTTTTTTTTACCTTTTATGAGCTGCTACTAAGGTGCTAAGCTGGTATTTTTAACAAAAATGCATTACGACCTACTTCTCTTGCTCCTGAGCATGATCAATGAGCTTAGAGCACATCCATTTTATATACAAAATGATGCAAAGTTAAATTGGGTCTTCCTCATGGACATCAGGTATCTACTCTGGATTTCACCTGACCGTGGGGCGGCAATCATGATCTGGCCATGCCAGGGTGATCTGACCCAGTCATTCAGGACCGTAAGGTGCTCCTGCAAGTCTTCACGGGCCTCACTTGCTGCAGGAATCGGCTAGCGTAACCGACAGACTTCATCGGATCGCTCACCCCCTTCTCCCCCAGCTGCTCCTGAACACACTGCACGAAGATGCCAGACCAGCTCCGTCTGTGACTGCTGCCAGCGACCACACGCTCTTCTTTTTAGCCAGTCATTTATCCACCGAAGGACCCTCCCTTTCACTCTGTGCCTTCTGGATTTCTTCAAAGGCCTCTGACACTTCATGTTTGCCGACAGCCTCTCTAGAAACTGTACAGGTTATGCCAATGGCACCAGTTCTAGCTATATACACACCCAGTCCTCATCCAACACGCTCCGAGGCTTACACAGTGGTCTGCCAGACAGGAACACTTTCACCACAAGCCATAGAAACACAGAATGGTTTGGGTTGGAAGAGACCTTATAGATCACCTAGCTCCAAGCCCCCTGCCATGGGCAGGGACACCTTCCACTGGACCAGGTTGCTCAAAGCCCTGTCCAACCTGGCCCTGAACACTCCCAGGGAGGGGGCACCCACAGCTTCTCTCGGCAACCTGTGCCAGTGCCTCACCACCCTCATGGTGAAGAATTTCTTTCTTCTGTCTAATCTAAATCTACCTATTTCAGCTTAAAGCCATTACCCTTGTCCTATCACTACATGCCCTTATAAAAAGGCCCCCTTCAGATACTGGAAGGCTTCTGTAAGGTCTCCCCGGAGCCTTCTCTTCTCCGGGCTCAATGACCCCAACTCTCTCAGCCTTTCCTCACAGGAGAGGTGCTCCAGCCCTCTGATCGTTTTTGTGGCCTCCTCTGGACCCACTCCAACAGTTCCATGTCTTCATGCAAAGCCATGCAACTCTCCTGACTAGCTACATTATTTAAAATAATGGTTCGTTCTGGCTTGCCTGGTGCAGAAGTCAGACTGGCAATCTGTTTCTTTCTGGATCCTTTAGAAAAAAGAGAGGGCATCATGCATGCTGCTTCCAGGGGAAGTGGATTTACGGAAGGCTGGGGAGGTAAGCTGCCGCATTCCTGAGTCACTAAGTAAATACTAGTCAGTTTTAGCAACTTATTGCTGTTTGTCCGCTCCTCAACCTCTCCGTGCTGTCACTGGAATCAAGACAGATCCTCTGACGCATCTCCCACACGGACGTATCCAGCGTGGGCACCTCCCCTGCTTCCTCGACATGACACAGAGGGGGAGAACCCCCTCATCTCCATCACCGCCACGGGCTCTCTCGGCAGCGTGGGGTTTTTTTACAGCACGGGCCTGTGCCCTCCCGTGCAGGTTCCCGCTTC